CACACACACACACACACACACACACACACACACACACACACATGTCCCTTGGGACCTAGCATTTCCAGTAGCCTGTACCTCAATAATTAATGGTCACAGGGTCTGGATCTCTGGCAGGCTAAAGATGACATCTTGACCTAAATTGTATTTCAGTTCCTGAATCCTAAGGTTGAGTGACACCCTGGCTACTTTCCCATGAGACCGGACAGAGGGATTGTGGAAAAGACCTCAGAACTGTCCTCAAGACCTGAAGAAATGATTTATTACCTTTACCTCACCTCTAACCAATCAGCTCTCAGCACAACCCCAACCCCTTACCCATGGTGTCCTGTGACTTTGCTGTACATGCCATTGGGGAGATTCGGGCTTTTGAGCATTAGTTTCTGGTTCTCCTGGATGGCTCCATTCACCAATAAAACAGCCAATATTTCTCCACTGCAATTCTCAGCGTTTAGTGTTTGGCTCTGCTAGCGCCACCAGATGGACTAACTGTTTCTGTTTGACAACAGCACGTTGCTTGTTTCTCTTCCTTTTCTTTCTCTAAATCCCACTTGAGTTTTCTACAACCCTTCAGATGACCTGGCCTTTTACAGTAAAAGCAGACTCCTTTCTCCTTGTTGATAAAGCCTTCAGGGAGGCCTGACCTGATTGCTTAACTGCTGGAGCTGATTTTAGTAGCTTTATTTTGTTCTTTCTTTTGGATAGTTTTAGATAATTGACTGGCCAGAATTGCTAGTTTGTCAGTATGTGTGGTTGGCCAGTTTATGTTGTTTAATCAGTTACAAGCCCCTCATCTAATCCTTCCAAAAATTCCAAATTGAGCAATGGATCATTGATCCATACAACTGACTGAGGATAGTCCTGAATGTTGTGTGAAAGTTTTCTCAAAATGTTGAAAGAAATCAAGTACACTTTGTCAACGAAAAAACATCCAGCCTAAGAGAAAGCTTATAAGAGTTTATTTGATCCAAACTGACAAAAATTGCCAGGAAGCAAAATCTCAACGGATTGAGAAAATGCTCCAGACAATGGCCTGTTTGCAATTTATTTTATACATTAGAATCAAAAGAGGAGAGTTACATGAAATACACTGGTTGTAGATTAAGGGGGTGGGGGAAAGCAAAGCAGGGAAATCTCTGAGATTGGATAAAAAATAAAATAGAGAACACACACTTCTTTACATTGGTGGGTACAGTATAGTTAATAGCATTTTACAGCACATAGAGATACTACTTGGGGAACAAGATAACGATGAGGGATTTTGTAGATTTCTGCTCCGGTGTGGTGGGTTTTGCCCTCTGGGGAGTCTGGAAAAAGAGATTACTCTGATATTGCAAGGCTCACTTACGGTAAAGGTTGACCTTTGTCAAGGAAGCTACAGGCCAAAGATGTGACTACCGACCATTTTATGTGGCTATTTTTTCAGTCTCCTGAGCTTGTCACGTTTAACATGTGGCCCCTTTTCTGTCCACAGCTTTCATCAGGTCTTTGCTTACTTTGCTGGATTTCCATCCTGTCATTCCAGGGGACAAAGGGGGGGTGCGGGGGGGGGGTGCGGGAAATCTCAGGGACGGATGGCTTGATAAAACCAGTGGGATAATTCCCAGCAATTTTCCTAGTCTTTCTCTTTGTTTTAAAAAGTCCTCCACAGGAATTTTCCAGCAAATCTCACTTAGCCATTCTGCTGCTTTACTCTCAGAAGCCAATAGGTGTATTAGTTGGAACAGGTCACAGTAGCCAGGATCATAATGTTCTAACAGTTAAATGAAATTCCTTTGTGAACTCAACAGGGTCTTGGAGATCAGGATGATCTTTAAATTTCTTAATTCTGTTCTAGCCCAAGGACAGAAAATGATTGCTAATTTTCTCTAAAAGGAGCGGCCAGAATTTCTGGTTTTTCTAGTCTATCTTGGTCTGGCTTTCTGTTCTTAGTTTCCCAGGTCATTAGGGGGATGGGGAAGCGGTGTGAGAGGAGAGAGGAGGAGAAAGGGAGGGCGAGTCCAGACAAGGGAGACCAGAAGGTTTGTGATCTACTGAGTATCTGGAGAAAGGGTGAAGTGGGGTGTTGGCACTGAGCAGTTTTGGAAGCCTACTTTAGTTCAAAGGCAGTTTCTAAAACATTTTTATTAACTTCCCGGAGAGGAGAAAGTCTATCTGTGCTTCCTCTAGAGAGGCTCCTATTTCCCAATCAAGGTAAGCTCCCCATTTATTCAGTTTAGCATTAGAGCCAACTTTTGCCACGCATTCCTAAAATGATGCAGGGACTACAAAATCAACCCCAGGCGGTGAAACAGTTCTATTGATATTTAATTGCAAACGTCCCAGGCCAGGACAGGTTCCCGCCCAACAGCGGAAGCCCGTTAGATTCAGCCTCTTATCCTCCCCCTGGCTGTCACTCAGGCTGCCCAATCAGGGGGACCGTAGAGACAGGTGGGTGGGGCTACGCACCTAAAGGGCATGTTGGTCTCTTCTCCATCCAACCTTGCTGGGGTTCACTCCTGACTTGTCTTTCATGGTCTCTGGTGTCTCTGCCGCAGCCTATTGTCCCGCTCTGACCTGTACAGGTCGTGGGAGTGTAGGAGGGACTCAGGGAGCCCCGGAAACCTAGAAATGGTGAGTATACAGGCTGGCGCGGAGGCGGGACTTGGGGAGGGGGACGCTAATCCGAACCTGCTGTGGCGGGACAGTCCTCGCGGTCAAGTCTGGAGTCTGCGGACCCGAGTCCCTCGGGACGCCTCTCAGACCTCAACCCCCTCCGGTACACAGCGTGGGAGCTGGGCCGGCAGCCGGGACCCCGGGCGCCCTGTCCCATCACTGCGCACCTCGATTTAGGCCCCGGCCCCGGAGCCTCTCTGGGCAGCCCTGCCCCCGCAGCCCCGCGACTCCCTAGATACTGCGGTGACTACTGGGAGGGCCATCAGGTGACAATCGTGTCTCCATCTCTGGGGGTTCGTGCGTGGAAGGAGCTGTAGTTTGTGGGGCTCCCCAGTCCTCATTTCTCCCAAAGGTCAGCAGTTTTTCTCCTGAGTTTTACACATGTTTGGGGGAGCAGGGTCTCTAATCTAGGACCCAGCCTACCTCCTCCTGGGAGTGGCAACAAGTCCCTAAATTTCCAGATCCATCTTATTCCCTAAGCCAGCGTCCCTTTTCTGTTTCACAGCATCATTATCAACTGTTTGCCCTCCGGGGTGCATTTCAAACAGACCCGATATTTTAATTGTACATTTACAACCCCACCCCCACCCCCATGCAATGGCTAAATATAAATTAAAGATTTATATTTGTCTGTGGATATTTTATGAGAGGATATTTTAGCCAGAATAATCAACCACCTGGAAGACGTTGTATGGAATCCCCGTTCCTCTCCCCCAGGACCTTTTCTGGGCACAGACGTCCTATGGGAAGTCCTTTGGGTAGAGGTTCCTCTTTGGAAATTTTTCTGGGTGTCCTCTCCGGTCAGTACTGCCCCTCCCTGGGTTTGTCACCTTGAAAAGATTTATTTACTTTTTTTTTTAAGTCTCCGTTTTGCAGTAAATGTAAAATGTAATTAATATGATTGAAATTCAGTATAAAATAGTTTCAAACAGGCACAAAGATGTGAATTTCAGAAAAAAAGAAACAAAATATTCCAGTATTACATTCCATTTGTTTAGAATTCTTTCTTCCCCTGACCATGTGTAGTAAGTTTCTAAGGTTTGTTTACTTTTGGGTGTTTTAAAATACAAGTCCAGGGCTTAGCCTTGCAGAACAAAATTGTTCAAGTAGAACTATCATTTACAAATCAATTTCTTTCTTTGCAAATCATAAGTAACTGACAGCTTTTTTCTGAAATGAATTGATATTTGGGGTTTTCTGATTGAACTACTACTGCAAGACCCTTATAATTTTCTTCCTTTCCATGTAAATGCTGGGTTTGTGTGATTTTTGGTGGATTGTTTAAACACTGGGTTTGTGTCATTTAGAATATTAACTGTGGGGCTGGCATAGTGGCTCAGTTGGTTAAGAGTGTGAGCTCTGGCAACATTTCTATTTCCACATGGGCCAGTGAGCTGCCGCTGAGCTGCCAACAGGTGGCAGGATGGCTCAGCTGGTGAGAGCACGTGCTCCTAACAACTAGGTTGCTGGTTGGACTCCTGAATGGGATGGTGGGCTATGCCCACCCACAGCTAAGATTGAACACAGCACCTTGAGCTGAGCAGCGGAGCTGCTGTTGGGCGGCCAGATGGTGACTGGACTTGGGAGCTGAGCTAGCTGCACCCTCCACAACTAAGATTGAAGGACAACAGCTTGGCTGCACCCCTTCCCTAATTCCCCAACACTGTTCCCCTTCCCCCATTCCCCAATAAAATCTTAAAAAAAAAAAAAAAAGAATATCAACTGTGGTTCAAAGCATCTACAGTGGGGAGCAGAGGCCTGTTGTCAGTGACCCAAGCTAAGGCCCCTTGAGCTGCAAAGGGAAGTACTTGAAGGCCCAGTGGTTCTTCCTGGGGAGCCTCCCCTGCAGGTGTCCTACCTGCTCACACCCACCATGGAGGGACCTTTACACTGAGAGAAGCTGCAGCCCTGGAGAGCTGGGGGTGCACATGTGTGGGGTGGTGGTGGTGATGCCCTTTCTGTGGTTGTAGTTGCAGGTTTTTAGGCCTAGACATTTTTAGATCTTATATTTGAGTTTTGCATCCCCAGTGTAGGTGCATTCAGTGTAATTTTTGCACATTGAGAAGTCTGTGAAGATCAGATGTTCTGTTTTGTGGACAAAGGGTTTATGAATTGGGGAGTTCATGTGGGTCAGAACCTTAAACTGAATCAGGCTGAGAGTTTCCACACTGTGAGAATGGAAGTCTGGCGTAGGGAGCACTTCCATGATTACAGGAGTGGGGGGATGTGTGTGGAGCTCCCAGAGTTCATTCCTGGGGCTGCTCAGGTGTTATAGCGCCCATTCTCCTAAAATAACCCACAGTGACCAGGAAAGCTCTGAACCAATAACTGATAAATTACAATTCAATTAAATTACGTCTTTGCCACTTCCAAATTGGATTCACAAAATGGGACTCCATGGTTCTTACCCCTGACTTAAATTAGTTGATATGATCTAGTGTAAATTAAAGAGGACCCTGAAGGATTGAAAACTGTTTTAAGAAACCTATTAGGAAGAAGTGATTCTCCCCAGTGCTTCTCCTTTAAACATCTGAATGTGACCTATTTGTAAACCTGGAAAGAATGAATGACACTTGATTACTGCAACCCTGAGGCTGTTGGCTGTTGTCACACCAAAGAAAACCCTATCCCAGTCCCCAACATTATGGAAATTACTTCCTCCATCACCCAGCAACTGGTACAATGGGTTCACATTCCACTCTCATAGATTTGGCTAAGTCTGGTCTGTTCAGTGCCTATGTCAACAGCCTCTCAGCTGCACTTGGCCTTCACCTCTGAAGGGACATGACATGCTTTACTTGGTTCCTCTCAGGGAACCTCAGCACCATTACCACCTCACAGTCTCTGCAGGCAGGATCTGAGCTGCGTTTACCTTGCTCCAGGAGAACAGGTATGACATGACATTCATGATGTTCTCTTTTGTGGACATTCATTTGACATTCAGGACATATATGTATTGGAAAAAGAGGCTTGCAAAAAGTGGAGGAGCCATTGCCCCAGACATATGACACCCTGAGGCTTTGGATATATTTTCAAAAAAATTATTTAGTAAACTGAAGGCTACTTCCTTTCTGAAACCATGAAGAAATATCTAGAAATCCTTCTCAGCACCCACAACATTGTCTAGATTCTTTTCATGTTCAGGAGGCAACATATTCCTTGTTTATAAATTTTACTTGAGCCCATTTATGCTGTTACTTGCAAATTGCCCCACTTTGAATGGGCACCCCTACCATAGAAGGCTCTAGACTGTTCTGTTGTCATACGACAGGCACACCTGATAGTGTTCTCAGAGACCTCTTCACCACAGAGTCTTCACTGACCACCTCTCACACCTGGAGTTACCCATGATGGCCTTAGGATGTAATTTCTGTCTCTTGGTTATGTTGACTAGGTGTTTATCAATTTTATTAATCTTGTCAATAACCAGCTTTTTTGTTGTTGTTTATATTTTCTTCATTGATTTTGCATAATTACATTGATTTATTTTCTAATTACTATTATTCTGCTTACTTTGGGTTTAATTTGCTCTTCATTAGTTGTTTCCTAAGTTAGATGCTTATACTATTCATTATACATCTTTTTTCTAGTGTATTCTATGGCATAAATTTCCCTCTAAGCATTACTTTTGCTGCATCCCACAACCTTTCATAAGTCTCGTTTTCATTTCATTATTTAAAAGTGTGTTGTTGAATTTTCACATTTTGGGGTTTTTATCAACTGTCTTTCTGTTATTTGTTTCTAGATTAATGCCTTAGTGATGTGACACCATATTTTATATGATTTCTATTCTTTCAAATTTGTTAAGCTGTGTTTTATGTCCTAGAATGTGTTCTGTCTTGGTGAATGTTCCATGTCAACTTGAGAAGAATGTGAATTTGGCTGTTGTTACATGAAGTATTTCATAGATTACAACGAAATTCAGTTACTATATGGCGCTGTTTAGTTCAACTCTGTCCTATGTGATTTTCTGAAATTCATATACCTGTGGCAGCTTTCTTTTCATTAGTGTTGGCATGGTACATTTTAAAAAATTCCTTTACCTTTCATCTATCTCTGTCTTTATATTTAAAATGCCTTTCTTCTAGACATCTAATTGTTTTTGAAAGTTGATATTACTGTATCTTTTAGTTGTATTGAGACCATTGATGATAAAGTGGTGATTGATTCAGTTGGATTAATATCTACCACAGCTTTTACTGTTTCTCCTCTGTATGTTGGCGTTGTTCTTTGTTTCTTTTGGTTTTCCACCTTTTTTCTGTCTTTTTTTTTTTTTTCACTTTAATTGAGCATTCTACCTGATTCATGTTTTCTCTTCTCTTAGGATATCATATTTTTAAAAACTATTTTAGTGGTTACCCTTGAGTTTTGAGTATACATTTACAAGTAGGTTCACCTCCTGTGTCACACTGTACCACTTCACTGGCCATACATTATTCCCAGTTTCCCCTTCTGTGTCCCTTGTCACATTGTTGTCATTAATTTCACTCGTTCATAAGCTCATAATTGCCAAATAAATTGTTGATAATATTATTTTAAACAAAGTCATCTATTATCTTAAATATAAGAAATACAAAAGAGATTTATTTTTTTTTCTGTAGTCTCTCACCTTCACCCTTTACATTTTTTCTGATGAATTTTTGAACATTTCTTCCAAGTAGATGTACTGATAAGTTCCCTCAATTTTTGTTTCAAAAATTCTTATTTCTTCTTTATTTTTGAAGGGTAATTTTGCTTGACACAGAATTCTAGGACAGTGGTATTTTTCTTTCAAACTTTTAATATTTCACTCCACTCTCTTCTTTGCACAGTTTCTGAAAAGAAGTCTGATTTAATTCTAACCTTTGTTTATAACTAAGGTGTTTTCCCCTCTAGCTTATTTAAATATATTCTCTTTGTCTTTGATTTTTGTCTGGTGTGAATATGAGATACTTGGGTGTTCACATTTTTGTTTACCATGTTTCATGTTCTCTGAGCTTCCTGGATCTACAGTGTGCCATCCATCATTCATTTTAGGAAAGTCTGAGTGATACTGCACTGATTTCTTCTTGTCTTTTCTCTTTCTCTTCTTTCAGTTAGTTCCATGATGTGTATTTAAGCCTTCTGTTTAAAGGTTGTCCCAGGGTTCATGGATGTTGTGTCCTTTTTTGTTCCTTTTTGGCTTTGCATGAGACTTATAAGAGTTTTTTGTGTGTGTACAGGCTGTGTTAACAGAATATTGTGGGAAAGGAGTAATTTAAAATGTCATCTTTCTCTTTCTTAGTTTTGGAGATCCTGGATTATCCTGTGACCGAAATACTCCGATAGATCTAAGAAGAGAAGTTTATTTCATTTTTTAAAAAGATTTTTATTGGGGAATTGGGGGGATGGGAACAGTGCTGGGGAATTGGGGGAAGGGGAACAGACAAGTTGCTGTCGTTTTGTTCTTCAGTCTAGTTGTGGAAGACGTTGCTTCACTGGCCCAAGTTGGCACCATCATTGCGCTCTTCCCGGGCGAGGCAGATCAGTCGCCGGCTTCTGGACGCCCGCTCACTGCGGCTGCTGGCCGCTCACGCTGGCTGCTGGCTACCACGGTAGCCCATGGCAACCCACTGCAGCAGGGGCTGCAGCCTATGCGTTCGCCGGGGACTCACGGCAGCCCAGCTCCAGGTTGAGCTGTTGTTCAGCATCTTAGCTGTAGAGGGCAATGTCACTGGCCCTCATATGTGGTATCCGAACCGGGGCCCTCTGGCATCCCAAGCCAGTTCTTAACCATCGCACCACTCGGCCGGCCCATATTTCATTTTTTAAAAACTTTTTTCTAGTGAGGTTTGTAATGACAACATCTAAGTTACTTAAATGCCAGACCAGAAACCTGAAGTCTTTGAGTCCAGTTTTTCATGATTGACACCTGACAGCTTTAAAGCCTCGTCCTTTCTCTTCTTGTGCCCTGCACCTGTGAAAGGTGATAAGAAAGACTTAGTGCTCCCTCCTTTGGGGTAGGAAGTGAACTCCCATCCTTGTGTGTGAAGTCTCACCCTAGCTCTCACAAGCTCTTTCATGTCTGCTTGAGAGGCCTGCCTTACCCCAGATACTTCTGTTATGGAAGCTGTAGTCCCTTTCATACACTACTGGCTGAGTGTGGGGTCATCAGCTGAGGGATTCCCATGCTCAGCGGCTGAGCTCTCATGTTTACTCCACCGGGTAGCTTGGACATGACAGCAGAAGGGAGGGCAACCTCGAGGGTGGCTGGTCAGGAAACACTTCTCCTGATTGGGAAATGGCAACTTTAGGTGAGTTTGGAGTAAAGCACTGCTGACATGTTTATGTAGTTTAAATCATGAGCAAATTTATTATCAAGCCATTGTGTACATCAGTGAACTCTCTTGCAATCTGCAGCTATTAACCTATTCCTCAATGTCAGCAGGGCTCAGGATAGACTGCTATGGTCCTGCCAGGAAGTGCACTTTTGCCTTATTATTATCTCAGTGTGTGTGCCTGTGTGTGCCAGAAATTGATTGGCAGCAGCCCTGAGGCACAGAGTATAGGGATTTTGTGGTCTAAAGTGTCATGTCTTCTTCATGTCTGAGCTATAATAACTTTCTAGCTGCATCAAATCAGACAGAGAGAGAAAGAAAGAGCTGTGTCTGAGATAAATATTACATAAGGTAAAAGCAGTACTTTCTTACAAAAATACTTTTATTCAGCCAGCTTCATCTGATTACAAGCATAACTCAGAAATATTCTAGGTTCGGTTGCAGACCACTGCAATAAAGCAAATATCACAACAAAGTGAGTCACATGAATTTTTTGATTTCCCAGTGCATATAAGTGTTATGTTTGTACTATACTGTAGTCTATTAAGTGTGCAATGGCATTATGTATAACAAACTAATGTACATACCTTAATTTAAAAATGCTTTATTGTGGGGATATAAAGTATAGCATAGGGAATATAGTCGATAATATTGTAATAATTATGTATAGTGTCAGGTGGGTATTGGACTTATCAAGGGGTCACTTCATAAGTTATATAAATGTCTACCCACTATGCTGTACACCAGAAACTATATAATATTGAATGTCAACTGTAATTGAAAAATTAAAAATGTTTGAATGTTTTATTGCTAAAAAATACTATCATCTGAGTCTTCAGTGAGATACTCTTTTGCTAGTGGAGGGTCTGGACCTGATGTGGATAAAAATACGGTTTCTATGAAGTGCAATAAAATGAAGTGAAATAAAATGAGTTATGCCTGTACTTCTAATGGTATGGAGGACTTTAGGACAATATGGCCACATGGGCTTTTCATTTTTGGTGATGGGAATAGAAGAAAAAGCTTCCAGTTCTTGACTATGTTTTTTTTTTTAAAGATTTTATTGGGGAATTGGGAAAGGGAAACAGACAAGTTACTGTCCTTTTGTTCTTCAGTCTAGTTGTGGAGGACGTTGCTTCACTGGCCCATGTAGGTATTATCATTGCGCTCTTCCCTGGTGAGGCAGTAGCTCGCGGGGCATTTAACGGCCCTTCATGGCTGCTCACGGCGGCTCATGAAAGTGCATGCCGGCTGCTGATCAGCCCCTCTGCAGCATATGCCGTCGCCGGTGACTCACGGCAGCCCAGCTCCAGGTCGAGCTGTTGTTCACCATCTTAGCTGTAGAGGGCGCAGCATCACTGGCCTTCATGTGGGATCTGAACCAGAGCCCTGCTGCTCAGAGCTGGTGTCCCAAGCCAGGTTCTAACCAACGCGCCACTTGGTCGGCCATTGACTATGTTTTTATTCACTGAAACTTTATGCAGATGTGACCGTCTACCCCATGGAGTGCTGTAAGTTGTGGGTTAAAGGAATAACATGAAAGATTTTTTTTCACAAGGAATTGATGATTTTAAAATAATTGTTGCATCTGTATAGCATTTCCATCTTTTCTCAACATGCTCTGTACCCTGCCATTAGAGAAAAATAGGATGTAACAGGATCACTGTAAAAGTAGGAATAATTTCCATGTGTTTATGACATTGCTAAATTTATGAGGAAGTATGAAGAGAGTATGTTTCTGATGATCAAGTCATAGAATAAATATTTAGAGATGACAGAGCCATACATAACCTTATGAGTGAAGTCTAGGTGTCCAGTACTATCACTCTCACACATCCTACTATACACACATTTTGGATGTTTTAGAACTCAGTAGCCTATGAAGATGTGGCTGTGACCTTCACCCTGGAGGAGTGTGGGCCTTACTGCATCCTTCACAGAAGAAACTCTACCAAAATGTGATGCGGGAAACCTTCAGTAACCTGGCCTCAGTAGGTAAGGATGACAAGTTACCTTCACCTTGTTAATTAGAGAGCAAGTGTTTCTTACCCATCACCGTTGTTCTAAGATGTATAATGTGGGAATGGAGGCCATTGATAAATAAACTGGGTATTGTGACAGCCATTCTTGGATCTAGAATCTAATAATTTTCCTATAATTTCTAATATTTTAGATTCATTTTTGTTGGTCTGCATTTTAGGAAAAAAATGGGAAAATCATGACATTGAAGATCAGTACAAAAACCAGGTGAGAAAAAGAAGGTGAGTCTCAGTCACAGTAGAAAGCATTGTCTTGCATGAGAATCTTGATATGTTACAATTTTTTTTAAAGCAACCAAAACAACCACTGCTTCAAATTTAATCTCAGAACACTTTTACCAAATTACTTTTTTATGTATGATATAGATGTTCAGTGTTTGCAAAATAGTTCACTTGCATACAGTAGAAATAAACCCTATATATGAATATTGCTGTTTTGATAATAACAAGGGTAAAGTTTTTTAGGGAACATTGAGTATGTTCAATTTCAAACAATTTAGACAAGGCAGAAAACATACTTCTGGAATAAATCATAAAAATGTAGTTTAAATATTTTACTAATATAAAATCACTGATAAAGAAATCATTAATAATGTGCTTCTTGTTTTTTACAGAAGTCATATGGTAGAGAGAATCTGTGAAAGGAAAGAGGGTAGTCAATGTGGAGACAACTTCAGCCTTGTTCCAAATCTCAATCTGAACAAGAAAACTCCTCCTGGAGTAAAACCATGGGAATACAGCATATGTAGAAAGGTCTTCATACAGTCGTCATCTCGCAATAGGCACATCAGATGCCACACTGGACACAAGCCTTCTGAGTGTCTGACATATGGAGAGAAGCCATGTAAATGTAAGGTATGTGGGAGAGCCTTCAGTTATTCATCTTTACTTCAAATACATGAAAGACCCCACACTGGCCAGAAAAGTTATAATTGTAAACAATGTGGAAAAGCCTGTAGATGTCTTGAAACTCTTAAAACACATGAAAGGACTCACAAAGGAGAGAAACCCTATGGATGTAAAAAATGTAGTAAAGCCTTCACTTGTCTGTATTTTCTTTGAAGACATGGAAGAACTCATACCAGGGGGAAACCCTACAAATGTAAGGAATATGAGAAAGCCTTTTGTGCTCGCTCAAGCCTTCAAGTACACGTGGTCACTCATTATGGGGAAGGACCTTATGTGAGAAAGCATTCATTTCTCCCAGTTCATTTAGGATACATGAAAGGATTCACACTGGAGAGAAACCCTATGAATGTAAACAATGTGGTAAAACCTTCAGATTTTACTTTTCTTTCCAAAAACATAAAATAAGTCACACTGGAGAGAAACCATGTGTATGTAAAGAATGTGGAAAGGCCTTGAGTTCTTCATATTCACTTCGAATACACGAAACCATCCACACTGGAGAGAAAACCTATCAATGTAAACAATGTGCTAAAGCCTTCAGATATTATCAAAGATTTCAGAGACATGAAAGGACCCACAAAGGAGAGAAACCCTATGAATGTAAAGAATGTGGAAAAGCCTACACATCTTATCAAGGTCTTCAATCACATGAAAGGACTCACACAGAAGTGAAACCCTATAAATGTAAAAAATGTGGTAAAGTTTTTAGATATCATAAAACCTTTAAAACACATGAAAGGACTCACACAGGAGAGAAACCCTATGGATGTAAAAAATGTAATAAAGACTTCAGTTCTCTCCATTCTCTTCGAAGACATGAAAGAAGTCACACTGGGGAAAAACCCTACAAATGTAATGGGAAAACCTTTAGTGCTCTCTCAAGCCTTCAGGTACACATGGTCACTCACACTGGGTGTAGGGAGCTGGAGGCTTGCAGTAAGGATTAAGCCTGAAAGCTGGCAGGCTGACAGGCTCTCAGGCCCAGGTGAGCAGCGTGGGAAGGTTGGCCGTTGAGGAGAAAACAGCCAAAGGCCTTGAAAGCTACAGAGTGGAATGCCATCCTATTAACAGTTTCTGCTTGTTATGTTTTGCTTTAACCC